TTGGAAACCTAAGTTTCCTCTCTTGCTTATTTAGAAAGCGATTACTCATTTCTGAAGACTAGCTCAAAGGCCTTTTGGAAGTCAAGGTCTCCTTTTCTTGTTGAAATGTGAAAACATTTTAAAACTGTTTGGATATACATAGTCCCCATATATTTCTTCGAAGAAATGAACTTCAATCTTTAATCTTTACTTTTTACTCAACTTGAAGTTTAAGTCTTAAAACAAAGTTAACACATTTGGAAAAGACTTTTGGAAAACTCTAAGAACTTTTCTTGACTTGATTCTTACTTCTCTTGATTTTGATCTTAACTTTCCTTGAATTGGATTATAGATTCAAGGTTCATGATCTCATATTTATCGATGATTCCATGATGTTTAGACGTACCTTAGAGTATAGAGATCGATCGGAAAACATAGGTACGTTACTAAGGAGCTAGTACGGAAAGAAAGGGGAAAATAGGGTGAACTGGCGTCCTTGGTGCTTTAAGAGGCGTAGGGTGCCAGAGCCCAAAGTTCAAAGAACCCTTCTTGGGGTTCTGTGAGGGGCGACGCCCCATAGTCAATAGATTAGACAATTCTTCTTGGGGTTATGAGAGAGTCGACGCCCCATGCCCCTCCCCAGGTGCCTCTGACTTTTCTTCTTCGTTTTTCAACTGTAAACCCCATATTTCGACCTGGTTCTTTCCCCAAACACTTGGAATCACCTATACCATCAATATATTAAATATTATAATTGAATTCACACCTAAAATGATGGATTCGGATCAAACAACTCCTCAACAATTTCAATGAATCAAGAATTCGAAGGAAATTAAACAAACCCAAAAAAGATCTCAATTTCTAAGCTTTCAAGAGCTTAAATTCGCTTAAACAAATCATGATTGGCGCTTGGGTAAACTAAACCAATGCTATTGATCTGACATACTTTGTAGGGATCAGCCCTTGACAAAATCAACAAGCGATTCTTGAAGAACTTGATGATTCTCGCTCCTCCTCTTTTCTTTTCTCTCAAAACCCTAACTCTTTTTCCAAAAGCTTAAATTCACTAAGATCAGTTTAGACCCCAATAATTACCCAAAAATTAAATAAAATAATTGGGTAAGGAAAAGACCATTATGCCCTTCAAAAATTTGGTTTAGACTTTTCTTATTTGAGTAGCCCAACTTCAAATGGGCATATCTCACTCATACGAACTCAGAATCGGGAAAAATCGGAGGTGTTGGAAAGATTATTCCAAGATATTTCCTATGATATGTAAAAGCATACCTAAATCATCCTGAAGTAGGAGTTATAGTCTTTTGCAGTTGACCAAAAAATCAAACCTAACCTTAACCAAATTTTCCATGTTTTCCTTCTTTCCAAAATTGGCTCTTTCTAATTCATGTTGTTTCTAGTTACGGGGTGCTACAATATCTCCCCCTTGGGAACATTCTTCCTTGAATGAGCCTACTCTTAGGATGCTAATGGTGTCACATCAAACATAAAGTTCAAACACCCAACAAGCACAATGCAACACAACATGCAAACTTATAAATTAAAGAGTACTAAAAAGAGGATTAGTACCTTAATTTGGAACTTCTTCGGACTCAAAAATATGTTGATATCTCTTTTTCATATCCTCCCCAGCTTCCCAAGTAGCTTCCTCAAGAAATTGGTTCCTCTAAATAACTTTGACTGATGCTACCTCTTTTGTTCTCAACTTGCGAACTTGGCGATCTAGAATCTAAACCGGAATCTCTTTATACGATAAGCTACCTTGATCTGAATATTTTCAGTTGGTATGCTCAATGAAGGATAGCCCATGCACTTCTTCAACATGAAGATCTGAAATACCGGATTAACCGCGGCCAACTATTGTCGTAGCTCCAACTCGTAAGCTATATTACCAACCCTCTTGGATATTCTGTAAGGGCCAATATACCGGGGACTCAGCTTCCCCTTCTTGCCAAATCTCATAAAACCTTTCATGGGGGAAACTTTAAAGTATACCCAATCATATAATAAGAAATCTAACTGCCTTCTCCTAACATCGGTGTACGATTTCTGGTTGCGCCATTTTTGTAACACCCCGTATTTTACGTGTACAAGTCCTACACATATGGAACTTTATTTAGCTTGGTGGTATAAGTAATGAAATTGATTCCCTAGATGAATGGTGACAATAAAGAAGCTATAAGAGTAACTCCCGTACGTTGCAATATTGTACCATCGAGTGAACATCAAACTTTAGAAGTATTTAAATTCAGGATCGAAGGGCTGTATGTAAGTCTAAAAGTTAAGGTGATCAAGTGTATATAGGTTTTGAGCTAAACTAAGGATATTACGCTCGGAAAATGAATAAAAGAATTGAGGTGCTTGTTGGACTTTATAAAGCTAGCAGGTGTCACCTACTTTCTTAGCTCAAATGGGCTAGGTAGATGGGGAAGATTAGTTTATGCATTAGTGGGCTCACTTGAGGCCCAAATTAAATAAAACGGAAAAGGGAATGGAGATGAGGCCTCACACCAATTTGTCCAAGTACAACTACTTGAGCCCAATAATGACTAAGGCCTAAATTAAGGGTATAATTCTGGCCCATGGCTTAATATTAGAAAGAGGAAAGATTGCAGGCCAAGATGAGTACATAAAGGGCCCATTTTGTGTGTATATAATTCCAAGTAGATACATTACCTACTTGGACCAATTTGACAAATTAGTTGCTGATATTAAACCATAAGAGGTGGGGAAAAATAGGACATTTATAATCCCCAAGTTGCTGGCCATTTCCTCACTTTTAAGAATAGATAAAAAATTAGATTTCTTTCTAAGCTTCTCCTCTCTCTTTCAAAGCATAGCGGTAGCCACAAGTTTCCTAGGGTTCTTGGATAAACCCAAGCCCTTGCAAGGGAAGCTCAACTTATTAAAGAGTTAAAGTTAAAAGAAAACGAGTTATAAGAATTAAGGTAAAGTGATTGACACTATCTTTGTCTTCCTTAAACACGAGTCTCAATATGATATTTTAAGTATACTATTGATAAGAACTAGTAGGATGATGATGGGAAACTATGGTTTCACGTCCTTTATTTTATGTTGGATTGTTACGACTGTTTTGGGATAGGGTGATATGTAAACGTATTGGGGACAGCTTGGTTGATGTCTGGAAAGGGTGTGAATTGTTGATATTGAAATATAGTTGTGTAGTGTACATATGCAATAAAAGAAGGTGGGGTTGAAAGAACACCCTTAGTTTGGTAATTATGGGTTTGCTGCCCGAGCATTATTGTTGAGTGATATTGGATTGCCTAACCATGTTTAGTAAGTACTAATACTAGTTTATCACCTACTCTATTGTAGATAAGTATTTGAAAAGAAAGGAAGGTACTTCAAGGTAACTACAAGGTGGTACATCAAGGTATGTATGGCTTTTCGATTTCCTAGTAGTAGGCATGAAATCTAGACTCGTCCTCGACACATAGCGGCAGCCTACCATCTCCAATACAACTTATGACCTTCTTATCACTCTTTAACATGTCTGCGCATTCTAATGCATACTCTTTGTCAAATCTGTACATATACATTGAATACCCTGCATGAGTTCTCCTTTTCACTAAATAAGGTCCATCTATTATTTCAGCTCCTATGCATTTCACTAATTGTGTAACTACTCTTTACGTTGTTGTTCTTGCATATATGATTATTACACGTCACTTGTTGACTACATAGTCCCACAACTCAAAATGTTATGACCACCAAAAGAATCATCTCAAATGTTAATGGAAAGATATTAAATGAATCTGCTTATCGATGGGTGGTATCACAGGGGTGGAAGAATCACTTAGCATGGGTCGATCCCAATATTACGGGTGGTATCCCAGTGGTTAAAGGAAAGACTAGCATGGGTCAATCCCGATTTATATGTCTACCACTGATCAACTGGTCATTTTTATTATATGTTGTGCACAGAGTGTATGGTAAAGAATGATAAAGTAAAGAAAAGAATGTAAAGTACCTGATTCCATAATATGAACAAAGGTGGTCTTGTATCCTTACATTAGTATATGATTTCATTTGAGTTCTTATTTCACATATAGTACTTGATGCCTTACATACTCAGTACATTCTCCCGTACTGACGTCTCTCTCGGGGGGACTTGCAATTCATGCTGCAGGTAAAGGAGCTAGTAGATCTCCCCAGCAACGGCTATTGATGATCTCCTTGTTTATTCGGGGCTTTCTGAGTCTATAGCATGTATTTTGGTATTGTATAGTAGTTGAGTGTAAGGATGGGCCTGTCCCGACCTTAACCCCATATTGTTGTATCATTTAGAGGCTTTGTAGACTATGTATAATAAAGTGTGGTTGTGTCTCGTCTCTTAGACATATGGGCCTAAGGGCCAAGTCATGTGCACTTTGTTTTGGCTTGTTAGTACTACCTACTTTCATGAAAACATGTTATCCACTATGGCAGCACCTTTAAATGTTTGTAAATAGAGCATGATTATAGGTTGGTCCTCCCGTGCCTTCTTGGCAACTGGTGCCGGTCTGCCTTAACGGGATTTTGGGCGGACAAAAGTGGTAATATAGCAGGTCATCCTAGGGAATCTACAAAAACGTGTCTGTGTAGATTCTTTCTTATGGATGTGTTGTGCACCACATTTATAAACAAGAAGCTATGAGACATGTAGGAATTGTTTCTTTGTTTTCATTTCTTAGATCGTGCGATAAAACCAATTTTGTAGGAGAATCGTATATAACTTCTGAATTGCTTTATTATAGCAAAGATGTCGGTTACGAGGAGTAAAAGTATATGTAAGCAAGTAGATGTGGCTACCCAAGAAGGGACCAGCCAACCACCACTTAATCAAGTTTTTCAAAGTGAGGCTCAAGATGAGTCGCTATCACAGACTTCCCTGACACCTCCATCTCTAGAACTTCTACGGAGGGAAGTTGCACCTTAAGAACCCACTATTAATGCTACCGAGCAAGATTTGAGGAATGCGGTTCAATTATTGACTCGTATAGTTGCTAGCCAGGGTCAAAGGCAAGAAGGCCCAGTTGCAGGTATTGGTGGTGAAGACAGGGTAGCTAGCACGCGGATACGTGATTTCTTTAATCTGGACCCTACATCATTCACTGCGTCAGATCCTAATGAAGATCCGCAAGACTTTATTGATCAAGTCCAATGAACTCTAGATGTTACGCATGTGAGTGGTAAAGAAGCTATTGAGCTAGTAACATATAGATTAAAGGGTGTGGCTATATTATGGTAAGAAACTTGGAATCAATCTAAGAGTACAGATGTACCTCCAACTAGTTGGAAAGAATTTAAAAAGGCGTTTCTTGATCATTATTTGCCATTGGAGATTTGAGAGGCCCGTGCAGATTAGTTCTTAAATCTTCACCAAGGGAGTATGAGCGTGAGAGAGTATAGTCTCCAATTTAATTCCTTGTCCAGGTATGCTCCCAATGTAGTTGCTACTATGAGGATAGAGTTCATCGATATGTGGATAGATTGGATTCTTATCTGGTTAGATATTGTACTATTGCTTCTTTAAATAAAGACATGGATATAGCAAGGATGCAATCTTTTGCACAGAAATAGGAGGATCAAAAGCAGAGAAGAAGGGCACAAGAGACATAAAGGGGGAAGTCCACGAGGGCTAGGTCTACCAGGCAGTTTACACCACCCCAAGGTGAGTTTAAGCCTCGGTTTTCTAAAAGACTGGCTATGCCGTCAATTACCTACTCTAAAACTAGCGCACCACCCTTATTTCGAGGGCCGAGAGGCAATCAGTTTAGGCAAAAGAGTGAGAGCCAAGGTTCACGGACAGCGGGATATCCAGAGCAGGGCAATACAAGCCAATCAATGCCTCTTAGGCAGCCTTGTAAATAATGTGGGAGGAGTCATTTAGGTATATGTCGTATTAGAACAGATGCCTATTATTGGTGTGGCATGCCAGGGTACCTAATGAGAGATTGCCATAAAAGGCGCATGGGTGATATATCACAACCTACTGGATCAGTTATTGCATCGTCATCATCGGTGCCTCCTTTAGGTAGAGGTCAACAGGTTCCTACAGGTCGTGGTAGAGGTGTTAGAGGAGCAGCTAGTTCTAGCGGAATCCAAAATCACACATATGCTCTAGGGAGTCGACAGAGTAGTAACAGGTACATTGTTCATCTTTTCACATAATGTATATGTGTTAATTGACCCTGGTTCCACACTATCGTATATCACTCCACTAGTTGCTGGGAAGCTTAAAAGAACACCAAAATTATTGAATAAACCATTTGAATTGTCTACACCAACCGGTGAGTCTATTATAGTAAGAAGGGTCTATCGTAACTGCATAGTAACTGTTTGTAATTGTGATACATTGGATGACCTAATTGAACTAGAAATGGTTGAATTTGATGTTATAATGGGTATGGATTGTTGGCTTCTTGTTATGCCACAGTGGATTGCCAAACTAAGAGAGTGCACTTTCACTTTCCAAACGAGGCAGTCCTTGAATGGGAAGGTAATGTTGCAGCGCCAAGGGGTAAGTTTATTTCTTATTTGAAGGCGAGGAACATGATGTCAAAAGGGTATATATGTCATCTAGTTAGAGTGAGAGATGTGGAGGCAGAACCACTGACACTTCAATCTGTTTCGGTAGTAAATGAATTTATTGATGTGTTTCCTGAAGAGCTTCCAGGTTTACCCCAGAACGAGAAGTAGAGATTGGTATCGATTTAATTCCAGGCACTCAACCTATCTCTCTTCTTCCGTATAGAATGGCCCCGGCAGAATTACGTGAATTAAAGGAATAATTAAAGGACTTGTTAGAAAAGGGGTTTATAAGGCCTAGTGTGTCCACATGGGGTGCACCAGTGTTATTTGTACGTAAGAAGGACGGCACATTGAGAATGTGTATCGACTACCGACAATTAAATAAAGTGACAATTAAGAATAAATACCCCATCCCAGAATTGATGATTTGTTTGATCAGTTACAAGGTGCCAAATGGTTTTCAAAAATTGACTTGAGATTAGGTTATCACCAAGTGAGGGTGAAGGAGAAGGATATACCCAAGACAGCTTTTCAAACACGGTATGGTCATTTCGAATTTCTCATTATGTCATTTGGGCTAACAAATGCACCGGCAATATTTATGGATTTGATGAATAGGGTGTTTAAGCCATTCTTGGATGTATTTGTGATAGTATTTATAGATGATATCTTGGTGTATTCAATATCAGAAGAGGACTATGCAAATCACTTACGACAAGTATTACAAGTTCTTCGTGATTGGCGGTTGTATGCCAAGTTCTCCAAATGTGAATTTTGGTTAAAATCAGTGGCGTTCTTGGGTCATATTGTATCTAATGAAGAAATAAGGGTTGATTGACAAAATATAGAGGCCTTGAAAGATTGGCCAAGACCAACAACACCCATAGAGGTTCGTAGCTTCCTAAGGTTGGTAGGTTATTATAGATGGTTCGTTGAAAGATTTTCTTTTATTTCTGCACCTTTATCTAAGCTAACACACAAGGCAACTAAGTTTCAGTGTAATGATGCATGTGAAAGAAGCTTACAAGAGTTGAAAAGTAGGCAAACTTCCGCACCTGTATTAGTACTTTCGGAAGGCACAGAGGGGTATACAGTATACTGTGATGCTTCAGGGGTTGGTTTAGGATGTGTAGTCACGTAGCATGGTAAATATCACGACCCAAGCCTAGGGCCTAGACGTGACATGGCGAATGAAGAACCCGAAGGAACCCCAAACAAGCCTCTCAAACGTGTCATCACACTTCATTGGTCGCGGAAGTACAATCAACATTAATTAACGAGAAATAGGGACTAAGGGCAAACAATTTAAAAATGACATCATAGAACAAGAGTCAAGCTCATTTACAAAATACTTATCCAACGCACACCTCTACATACATAGATAGGACGGGGGCCATGACATACTACCGGCTCCTCTCATAGTCAAAATACAATTACAAGCTAAAGTCTCAAAACATAGGAGTAGGAAACATAACATAGCCCTCGAATCATTGAGGACTCACCAACAAACTCGAATAAGCACCGTACTAGCCACGTGAATGGAGAGAAGGATCAAGAGTAGCTCCGATCCCTACATGGTGACATCATGTAGGCAAAATATGTGTTAGTACTTGGAATGTACTAAGTATGCGGGGTGCAACACAACAATAGACAAGGACACAATCGAAATACAAGAAATAGTTTCGTAGGCATTAAGAATAACAATATGAGGATGCATGATCAAAGTGAAGTCAAAACATGTTTAAGTAAATCTATACTAATAGTAGATATCATATGTGTATGCATTATCCAACCAATCTATAACCCCAACTTAGGATGGGGGATGCCGTTCACACCCGAACACCCTGGTGGCAAGGTATAAACCCCTCACATGGTTGATGTTGGTCTCACCCCCAAGCATCCTAGGTGGTGAGATATAAACCTCTCACATGGTTGATGTTGGTCACACCCCAAGCATCCTAGGTGGTGAGATATAAACCTCTCACATGGTTGTCCGGTTCTTTTACCCCGGACCGGGCATGGTCATTCAACACTTTATATAGGAAATTCCCATTAGGCTCTAATGCAATCTCACATATGGAATGAACATAAACACAAGCTTAGTTTGTCATCAACACATCTCTGGATTGCCATACATCTCATAACTCAAGCTTTAAAGCATCGATTCATCAATTCTCCATAGTTGGACATTTTGTCAAACACCTTGAAGGCATGTAATGGAATCAAAGAGCTCGGAAAATAGGGTAGTAATTATGCAGCCAAACCAGTGAACAACCTACAACAACACCTTTTAACACCCACAATACCACATGAAAATCTCCACATCCATTCAAAATTTAGATTCAAGTTCTAGAGTCACAACATGCTCAAAACAATCACTTTTCATGTTTAAAATTCAATGTGCAGGAAATTATTACAAAGAACAAGACTAATTTATGAATCTTAACTTAAACCATGAATTAGTGAGTAGAATAGAGTCTAGGCACTATGGGTGGAAGGACCCATGACTTCAACACCACATACCTTGAGTTCTTATGAAGGTCTTGAGAGTGTCTTCAATGGAAGCTTGGAACTTGGAGCAAGAGTCTCTTCAATCTTGAGGAAGGTTTTGGATTAGGGTTCTTGAGAGAACTTGAGAGAAAATGTGTCTAAGTACGGAAGAGGTGTTTTGGGAAATGTTTTAGAGATGGGAATTGAACTAATGGTATATAGGAAATAACATATGCCCTTTGGAAAAATGGTCCAACACTTAGAAAAAAAATGAGGCGGGTGAACAGTAAAAACGCTCACTGGAAATTGCATTTTCTGCCGGACAGATTTTACGAAAATGGGCATAACTTCTTCGTTCGAACTCCGAATGAGGTGAAACGAAGTGTGTTAGGTAGCTAACTCCAAGGGATTTCCATGGATATGGTATGGGCCACCCAATTATTTGTTTGCTAGGAGATATGACCCTCCAAAGTAGACCCTCGAAAAAGGCTTCACTTGGAAATTTCGGATATTGATACGGTTGCTCTAAAATTTGGGTTAGACCCATTTCCCAATCAATTTGACCCCCTAAACAAGAATATGAAGTCAAATTTTTGAAAAACAAAATGGATTTTTTTGATATAGCTAAACAAGTTTCCGGTAACTTCCGCAGCACATTTTTAAGAACCTTTTGGGTCATTTCAATATCTCCCCCTTGGGAACATTCGTCCCCCAATGTGGAAGAGACGTACAAGGCAAGACATAGTAAGAACATATCAGCCCCAACATGAATGCAAAATTTTTATTTAAAGATCACTTCAATATTTCAAAACTTAGTGTAAAGCATCCATAACTCATCAATTTAAACATATATGCACATTAATGATTCAGGGGCTGAAATGTAAGACTCAATGGAGTACAAAGGACTTGATTTAATACCTTAGGCTTGAGTGGAGTTGAATAGATAAGGATAACGTCTTTGCATGTCCGCTTCGGCATCCCAAGTAGCACTCTCCACTTGTTGATTTCTCCAAAGCACCTGAACGGACGCCACTTCTTTGTTCCTCAACCTTTTAACTTGTCTATCTAAGATCTGAACCGGGACTTCTTCATACGTCAAATTATCTTCTACAACACCCATAACCTCAAGAGGTACAATAGCGT